TGTGTGATTTTTTTTGTTTCTTTTGTACATTCTTCCCCCATGGTATAGCCCGTTTTCACTGTATTTGATTCTGGTGCCCTGCATCTTGTATATACATTTTTTTAACTTGGGTAAGAGAAGGGAAATAACAAAATGCTGAAATAAGGATACAGGTTGACCCATTGTAACAAAGAGATGTACAAGACACTATGTTGAAAATGAACTTTACAACTTCGGGGGAGGGGGGGAGTGGTGAGGACTTGGGGAGGTGGGGAGGGAAGGGATGGTGGGAGAAAAACAAAGGAGAGGTTAACAATGCTTAATAGGAAATGTACTCATTACCTTACTCATGTAACTGTAATCCCTCTGTACAGTATCTTTACAGTAAAAAATATATATTTAAAAAAGATGTCAAAGTTCAGAGCTCATATGTAAATATGGTTTACATAAAGTGTATTGTGTTTATAGTTTGCAGAGTAGCCTTCTGTTCAGTGAAGAGCCTAATAATTAAACAAGTGTTACAAACAAGGTCCAGAGGTGGCACAAAAAGAGGCTAAGCTGACACCAGAACTTCTTCCACTTGAACAGAGGACACACTTAATGAACATTCATTCTCTCTCTCTCTCTCTCTGGACCAATATTCATGATACAAAGAAAAATGTCCAAAAACCTGGTAAGGTTTTCTACAAACTATAAAAACTAGAACTACAAAAGCTGAAAAGAATTTAAGGTTACAAAAGTTCATTTGAAAATTAGTACATATTTCCTTTAAAATACCTTTAAAAAACAAAATTACCTTTTTGGATATTTATTTTTATTTCAATTTTATTGTTAAGGTTATGTACAGAGGGGTTACCATTACACACATAAGGTATTGAATACATTCCTTGTCAAACATTGTTACCCCTCCCTCATTTTTCTCCCACTTTCCATCTCTCCTAATGCCCCCCAATTTGTAAAGTTCATTTCCAACATGTTGTCTTGTGAGTATCAGTTACACCCTCAAAGAATAAGCAAACTTCAAAAATAACAATTTTTTTATTTTAAACAAAATCAGGAAATAAACTGACAAGCTTGTCAAGAGTCATTTTCAGTTTAATGTTTTCCTTAGTAGATAAATATGCATAAACAACTAATAAGAATTATAACAAGGCTTAAAAGTTGCTTTTACTGGACTCATAAAATAACTGGGCTCATAAATTAACTTATCCACTTTGTACCTATGTCCTTTTTCCTTGATCCATTCTCTCCTAAAGGCACATTGCAACCATTTTGGAATCTGGGAAAGGCTGGATCACCTACCATATGTCAACAACTAACTCATTGCAACAAGGTCCCATATGACCAATCATGAGACACCTGAATCATCAAACAAGCCACCTCTAAACATATCTGTGACTTAGAACTGTTTAAATTATGCATAGCTTCTCATTCCATGCCCCCAATTCTCCTAATTTGACCTATAGCAAATGTCTATATCCCTAAAGACAGCTGAAGATGTACTGAAGTGCTCTTTTTTGTTTTGGGGTTTTTTTTTGGTCAGTCGTGGGGCCTGGGCGCTGTCCCTCAGCTCTTCAGCTCCAGGTTAGCACTCTACACTTGAGCCACAGGGCCATTTCCAGTTTTTTCTGCTTATGTGGTGCTGAGGAATTGCACCCAGGACCTCAGACCTCATGAATGCAAGGCAAGTACCACTAAGCCACCTTCCCAGCCCTCAAGTGTTTTCTTAGTATGACTACATTAAATAAATCTCCTTACTCTGTCCTTTACCATGTCTATTTATTTGATATATAGGAATGAGTAGCTAGATCTGACATGTAGAACTGCTAGAGTTTGAGCACGGGATCAAACTATGATTTTATAAGTGATTTCTCAAAAGCTAAAGAAGACAGATACAATAAATTCTACATTGTTTGGTTATATTTATACAAAATTGTTTAAAAAGTAAAACTAATGATGGAAAGCAAATCACTATTTTTCAGGGGCCAAGAATAGATGGAGGGGGGGCTGGGAAGGTGGCTCAGTGGTAGAGTGCTTGTCTTGCATGCATGAGGCCCTGGGTTCGATTCCTCAGCACCACATAAGCAAAAAGAAATAAGCTGGAAGTGGCGCTATGGCTCAAGTGGTAGAGCACTAGCCTTGAGCTGAAGAGCTGAAGGACAGTTCCCATGCCCAGAGTTCAGGCCCCACCACCGGACCCCCCCAAAAAAATAGATGGAGGGGACTGACTTCAAGGAAGTTTGGGGAACAAAAAGAATGTTCTATATTATGATTATGGTAGTAATCAATGTATGTTTTTAAAACTCACTTAACCCTACAACGGAAATTGGAAAATTTTATTACATAAAAACTATGCTTCACAAGGGAAGGGGTGACACTGTCCAAAAAGAAATGCACTCTTTACCTGACTTACGTAATTTTAACCCTTCTGTACATGATCTCTTTTTTTGGAGGTCTTTTTTTTTTTTTTTTTTTTTTTGCTTATGTGGTGTTGAGGAATCAAACCCAGGGCCTCATGCATGCAAGGCAAGTACTCTACCATTGAGCCACCTTCCCAGCCCTGTACATGATCTATATACTGACAATTTTTTAAAAATTTAAAAAATTATACTTCAACTTGAAAAAAGGTAACATAATAAATGAGCTTTTATTTATTTATTTTTGAACTCTAGGCGTTCTCAGCTCTTCAGCTCAAGGTGAATGCTCTACCACTTGAGCCACAGCAGCACTTCTGGTTTTCTGAGTGGTTTATTGGAGATGAGAGGCTCAAGGAGTTTCCTGCCTGGGCTGGCTTTGAACCACAATCCTCAGATCTCAGACTCCTGAGTAGCTAGGACTACAGGAGTGAGCCACTGATGAGAATGTTTTTCCAATTTATTTCATTCAAAATATTTTACTTAATAGGACCTGGGTTATATAGCTCCATGGTAGAGTGCATGCCTACCAAGAGTGAAACCCTTGTTAGCACCACCAAAAGAAAAAAGAAAAAAAATTATACAGTATAAAAATACTTTGGGGGCTGGGAAGGTGGCTCAGTGGTAGAGCGCTTGCCTTGCATGCCTGAGGCCCTGGGTTTGATTCCTCAATACCACATAAGCAGAAAAAGCCGGAAGTGGCGCTATGGCTCAACTGGTAGAGCACTCACCTTGAGCTGAAGAGCTGAGGTACAGCACCCAGGCCCCATGACCGACCAAAAAAAAAGAAAATACATCATCATACAAAAACAAGCAAAATGAAGTACTTGAAAAGTGATCTTGAATGCAATTAAAGCCTTCAGAAACTGTTGCATAAACTCATTACTCTGATGGAATATTTGGCAGGTCACTGGATACTTTTCCAAGAATATAAAATTATGCCAGAGGCTGCAGATTCAGGTCATACAAGAGGCCACATAGATAACATAAGTAAAGAATGTACATAATGATCCCTGAAAGCATAGTCATAGTAGATAACAAAGCAAGTACATAGAGCAAGTCATACTGTAATAAACTGGAAAGCACACAGTGAGCCACCATCACAAGATCCTACAGGGTGATACTTGGAAAAAACAGAAGCCAGAACTTCTAATATTTAATTATTACATTTTTTTTTGGTCGGCCGTGGGGCTTGAACTCTGGGCCTGGGCGCTGTCCCTCAGTTCTTCAGCTCAAGGCGAGCGCTCTACCACTTGAGCTACAGCGCCACTTCCAACTTCTAATATTTAAAAGAGGTAGAAATCTGGGTTGGGTTTTTTGTTGTAGTTGTTGTTTGTTTTTCTTATTTTTGGTGGTTCTAGGATATGAACTAGGCCTCAAGTTTGCTAGGCTGATACAATACCACTGTCACAACACCACTGAGCCACACTGTCAGCCTTGGTTTTCTCAACTTATATTTAAGATAGAGTCTACCTTCATGCATATCTGGATACATGCTTAGATGAAGATCTGCCAATTTTAGGATTTCTGGAATTGCTGAAGTCACAGATATGTGCCATCACATCCAGCTTTCCTCCATGGAGATAGAGATGAAGTCTCATAGACTTTCCTCTCTGGACTGGACTAGAACCATTATCTCCCTAATCTCAGACTCCCACATAGCTTGGGATGGATGACAAGCATGTGCCACTGTATTTAGCTGAGTTAAGAAGGTTTCTCAAAAAAATAAAATAAAAAGTTTCTCTTGGGCTGGGAAGGTAGCTCAGTGGTAGAGTGCTTGCCTTGCATGCATGAGGCCCTGGGTTCAATTCCTCAGCACCACATAAGCAGAAAAAGCCAGAAGTGGCACTGTAGCTGAAGTGGTAGAGCGCTAGCTTTGAGCTGAAGAGCTAAGGGACAGCGCCCAGACCCAGAGTTCAGGCTGCACCATCGACCAAAAAAAAAAGGTTTTGCTGGCTTCAAATCATGATCCTCCTGATCTATCTCCCAAGTAGCTAGGATAACAAGTATAGGCCATCAGCACCTAGGTGAGGGCTCCTTTTATTTTATTTTTTTAATTCCTTTGTGTGAAGGTGAGGGTAGATCCTAGGACTTAAACACTCAGGGCCTGGGCACTGTCCCTGATTTTTTCTACTCAAGGCTAGTGTTTTATCACTTGAGTCACAGTTCCACCTCTGCTTTTTTTTGGTAGTTAACTGGAGATAAGAGTCTCACAGACTTTACTGCCTGAGCTGGCTTCAAACCACAATCCTCAGATCTAAGCCTCTTGAATAGCAAAGATTACAGTCAGGAGCCACCAGTTCCCAGACACTTTTACTTCTTTTATCATATTGGCAAACACAATAGGCAGGAACACAGTATATGCTTTCCAAACTTATTCAACAGCCTGTTCTAACTGCTTTGGTCTAACAGCTTACTTCTTTAATCGTAAAGACTCTTAAATAATATACGATATTAGTGAAGTATAATTCATCTAAAAATGACATGAAGGATATTAATTTCTGATCACTTTACTAAAAAAAATCTTATTTACATTTCTAAGCAGATATTGGTATTAAAGGAAAGCTGAGATAAACAAGGGTGAGGAAACAATGTTCATAACATTACCATCAGTGTCCAGATTCCAGAGTAATAAAATAATCCACATGCTGAAATTTGAGAACTTCATTGCCCCAGCTAGTCCAACCTGGCTGTAAATTTCGAGCAAATAATTCCAAACATTCTCCATCTGGCTTGATGTAATCTTTCAGAACCTCTGTCCAAACAAAAGAAGACAGACATGGTGAGAGATAACAAAATTACAATTGAGAAAAATCTATTTCCTTCTAACAGGAAAGAGTAAGAGAGATGGAAGTGGTGCTGTGGCTCAAGTGGTAGAGAACTTGCTAGCCTTGAGCTGAATAACTCAGGGACAACACCCAGGCCCAGAGTTCAAGCCCCATGACCAACAATAACAAAAAAAAAAAAGTGTTTGGGCTAGGAATGTGGCTTTATGGTAGTGCTTGCCTAGCATGCATGAAGCCCTGGGTTTGATTCCTCAGTACCACTTACATAGAAAACGCCACAACTGGTGTTGTTGTTCAGGTGGTAGCGGGCTAACCCTGAGTACCAAAGCTCAGGTGACAGCTCCTAGGCACTAAGTTCAAGCACCAAGAGTGGCCAAAAACAAAAAACAAAAAAAGAATAGAAACTGGGTATTTCATTTTTTTAAAAAGACAGCAAATTAATATGAAGGATTTCATCATAGGCTTACTATTTATAGTCTGAATGTCAATGAAATAAGTACCTGTGAGCCTGAGAACAACATTATCAACATGTTCACCAGTCCTGATTTATTGGTTTTCATTTGTAGATGAGAAATGAAGATTTTTAACACCCACATAAGTGACTTTTCAGTTTTCCAATAACACATATCTCCTGAGAACTTACTTTACTTTTTAATAAATGCAATCCATGCATGAAAATAACTCTATAGAAACAATACGCTTTATAGGTTTGTTCATTTAAAAAATTCTCTCTATAGTCTTCTCCAGTAACACTGAACTTTTAATTAATCTCACACAATTATTAGCCCATTCTATTCTGTCTTCTGTAGAATCTGCAAACCTTTTCTTACTACATAATTCAAGAACAGCTTTTGGGGTTGATAGTCCAACCTCTGAAACTGAATGAGGCCAGAGGACAAAAACAAAGATACTTTCGGGGGAGCTCTGTTGAGCTCCTACCCTTCATTCCAGATATAAAAAACTGGACTTGACTTTTCCCAATCCAGTTATCAAAAAGCCACAGGGTAGCTCTGTAAGTGGGGGGGAGGGGAGGGAGGGGGTTTACTAGAGCTTTAACTCAGGTCCTGGGTGCTGTCCCTTAGCTTTTCTGCTCAAGGCTGGTATTCTACCACATGAATCACAACTCTACTTCTGACTTTTAGGAGGTTCATTGGAGATGAGTCTCCTGGACTTTCCAGCCTAGGTTGAAACAGCCCACTTTTAAAATGAAAGTAAAACCTGTCCCTTTTTAACACAAATTTAATGAAATAATAGTAACTGAAGATTTGAGTATAGATAAAAATACTCAAAACTCGACAGAGAAACCTCAGAACTAAATAACTGCACAGACCAACTAAGTCTAGAATATTTCACCGGCAGCATCAGAATTCACATTCTTCTCAGCAGCACATGGAACATTCTCCAAAACAGACCACATTTTAGGTCACAAAGAAAATCTGTGTAAATTCAAAAATATTGAAATTATTCCCTATATTCTCTCAGACCACAAAAGAATAAAATTAGAGCTCAACACCAAAATCCACCATAGAAAATTGTGTAACTCATAGAGACTGGACAACACATTGTTGAGTCACTTGTGGGTCGTTGAAGAAACCAGAAAGAAAATTTAAACATTCATGATATTTAACAAAAATGAACATATAAAATACCAGCTCCTCTGAGACACAGCAAAGACAGTACTCAAAGGAAAATTTATAACTCGGAGTTCCTATATCAACAAATTGGAGAAATCTCAAACCAACAAATTTAATGGTGTACCTTAAGCTACTTGAAAATGAGCAACAAACCAAACCCCAATCCAGTAAATGGAAACAAATCCTAAAATTAAATCAGAATTACATAAATTAGAGTTCAAAAAAAAACCATAGTAAGAATCAACAGAGTTGTTTCTTTGAAAAAATTAATAAAATTGACAGACCCTTAGCAAATCTAACCCAAAGTGAGAGAGAGAGAGAAAGAGAAAGAGAGAGAGAGAGAACACCCAAATAAATAAAAAAATCAGAGATGAGAATAGGAACATCACAACAGAAACAAGCAAGATTCAGAACATTATAAGGGAATATTTGGTGAACCTTTATGCTAGCAAATTTGAGAATCTGGAAGAAATGGAAGAATTTCTAGCAAATATTGATATACCCAAATTAAACCAAGAAGATTTAAACCAAGTAAATAGACCCATATCAAGTATTGAAATAGAAATGGCAATAAAAGAACTCCCATCCAAGAAAAGCAAAGGATCAGATGGATTCAAAGCCAAATTCTACAAGGCCTTCAAAGGACAAGTTACTCCTCAAACTCATAAATTGAAAGCAAATAATCACTACCAAACTTGTTCTATAAGACCAGCATAACCCTCATCCCCAAACCAGATGGGGAGCCATCAAAGAAAGAACTATAGACCCATTTTTTTTTATGAACATCTATGTAAAACTTTTCAATACGCTGGGCACCGGTGGCTCACGCCTGTAATCCTAGCTACTCAAGAAGCTAAGATCTCAAGATTATGGTTCAAAGCCAGCTAGGGCAGGAAAGTCCATGAGACTCTTATTTCCAATAAACCACTGGAAAACCGGAAGCAGCACTATGGCTCAAGTGGTAGAGCGCTAGCCTTGAGTTGAAGAGCTGAGAGACAGCACTCAGGCCCAGAGTTCAAGAGTCAAGCCTGGGGGCTAGGAAGGTGGCTAAGTTGTAGAATGCTTGCCTCTCATGCATGAGGCCCTAGGTTCAATTCCTCAGCAGCACATAAGCAGAAAAAAGCCAGAGGTGGTGCTGAGTCTCAAGTGGTAGAGCGCTAGCCATGAGCTGAAGAGCTGAGGGGCAGTGCCCAGGCCCAGAGTTCAGGCCCTACCACCAACAAAAAACAAAACAAAACAAAACAGAGTTCAAGCCCTACGACCGACAAAAATAATCAAAAAATTCATACACTAAGACCAAATGGGATTTATTCCAGGGATGCAAAGTTGGTTCAATATACACGTCATTTAATGTAATAGGAACAAGGACAAGAACCATATGATCATCTCAATAGCTGCAAAAAAAGCAATTGACAAGAACACCCCTTTATGATGAAAGCTTTGGAGAAACTAGGAATCCATGGAATATTCCTCAATATAATAAAGGCTGTATATGACAAACCTACAGCTAGCATTATACTGAACAGTAAAAAGTTAAAACCATTTCCTCTAAAATCAGGAATAAGACAAGGATGTCCACTCTCTGCACTCTTCTTCAATATAGCATTGGAATCCCTAGCCAGAGCAATAAGGCAAGAGGCAAACAAAAAGAGGATCCAAATAGGGAAAGAAGTAAAACTCTTTCTCTTTGCAGATGACATGATCCTGTATTTAAATAACCCCATAAGGCTGGGAAGGTGGCTTAGTGGTAGAGTGCTTGCCCAGCATGATGAAACCCTGAGTTCAATTCCTCAGTACCACATATACAGAAGCCAGAAGTGGTGCTGGGGCTTAAGTAGTAGAGGACTAGCCTTGACCAAAAAGAAGCTCATGGACAATGGCTGTGCCCTGTGTTCAAGCCCCAGGACTAGCAAAAAAAAAGAAAAAAGATAGTTAAATAATCTTCACTGCTCCAAAGTGACTTAATGATGAACTAAAATCTAAATAAAATTCCTATGAAATAAATAACCCCATAGACTCCACTCCCAAGTTACTTGAGCTGATCTGAAACTTTGGCAAAGTAGTAGGGTATAAAATTAACCCACAAAAATCAGTAGGTTTGGGGCTGGGAAGGTGGCTCAGTGGTAGAGCGCTTGCCTTGCATGCATGAGGCCCTGGGTTCAATTCCTCAGCACCACATAAGCAAAAAAGAAAAAAGCCAGAAGTGGTGCTGTGGCTCAAGTGGTAGAGTGCTAGCCTTGAACTGAAGAGCTGAGGGACAGCGCCCAGGCCCAGAGTTCAGGACCCACGACCGGACCTCCCCAAAAAAAAAATCAGTAGGTTTTCTGTAGGTCAATAATGGCAAGAGCGAGACTGAAATCAGAAAAGCAACTCCTGTAATAGACTCAAAAAAAGAAATGAAGGAAATAACTAAAGAAGTGAAAGACCTCTACAATGAAAACTTTAAAAACCTGGAAAATAAATTAAAGCAGATTTAAGGAAGTGTGAAAACCTCCCATACTCCTGGATTAGGAGGGTTAAAATCATTAAAATGGCAATACTACCCATCTACAAATTCAAAGCAATACCCATCAAAATCCTAATAACACCCTTTAATGAAATAGAAAAAGCAACCCAAAAATTCATATGGAATAATAGAAGACACACAAGTAGCAAAAACAACCTTAGCAGGAAAAACAGGGCTGGAAGAATAGCAATACCAAAATTCAAACTCTATTATAAAACCATAGTTGTAAAAAGAGCTTAGTACTGTCACAGGAACAGGTCTGAGGACCAATGGAATAGAACTAAAGACCTAGAAATGATCCCACAGACTTAGAACCATTTAATCTTTGCTAAGGGAGCCAGCATAACCTCTTACATTAAATGATTTGTGTAGATTGAACCAGCTTTGCATCCCTGCATCCCTGGGATGAATCTGGTTTGATCATAGTGTATGAGTTTTTTTATTATTTGTTGAAGTCGTTTGGCCCTAATTTTTTTTTGGTGAGGGAGGGCGGTGGGGGTTGAACTCTGGGTCTTAGCTCTTCAGCTCAAGGCAAGAGTTCTACCAGTTGAGCCACAGAGCCACTTCCAGTTTTCTGGTGGTTAACTGGAGATGACAGTGTCACAGACTTTCCTGCCCAGACTGGCTTTGAACCCCGATACTCAGATCTCAGCCTCCTGAGTAGCTAGGATTACAAGCATGAGTCACCAGCACCAAACAGGCAAAATTTTATTGAGAAGTTTTGCATAGATGTTCCTCAAAGAAATGGGTCTACGGTTCTCATTGTTTTATGGGTCCCTATCTGGTTTGGGGATGAGGGTTAGGCCTCCTCAACAAAATGGTGCTGACAGAATTGGCTAAACACACATAGAAAGCTGAAGTTAGATCCTTATATATCACCCTGTACCAAAATCAACTCCAAATGGATCAAAGAGCAGATACACTGCAAGTATTATGGAAGGACTAGGGGATAAACTAGAGCTCCTTGACACAGGTCAAAACTTCCTAAGTAAAGATCCAGAAACACAACAAGTCAAAGAAAGACTGGATATATGGGATTACATCAAACTGAAAAGTTTCTGCATGGCAAAGGACATAGCTAGCAAGATCAACAGAAAGCCCACAGATTGGGAGAAGATCTTTACTAGCTATATATCTGAAAAGGGCCTCATATCTAAAATACAGTCAGAGCTCAAAAAATTAAACCCCCCAAAAAGAAATCCTCAAAGAAACAACAACCCAATTAATAAGTGGGCTAATGACTTAAAGAGACTTCTCCAAAAAAGAAATAAATGGCCAACAGACACATGAAAAAATATTCATCATCTCTGTCATAAGAGAAATGCAAATTACATTGAGATTCCACTTCACCCCCATTAGAATGGCCATTATCAAGAAAACAAGTAATAACAAATGCTGGCGAGGATGGGGCCAAAAGGGAACACTACTTATACTGTTGGTGGGAATATAAGCTGTTTCAATCACTCTGGAAAGCAGTATGGAGGTTCCTCAAAAGACTAAACATAATGCTCCCTTATGACCCAGCAATCCTACTCCTGGGCATTTATCCAAATGACCACAAACAAAGCCACACTAAAGCTACCAGAACAACTATGTTTATTGCAGCATTATGTACCATAGCTAAGATATGGAACCAACCCAGATGACTTTCAGAAGATGAATGGATCAAGAAGATGTGGTATAAATACACAATGGAATTTTATACTTCCATCAGAAAGAATGACATTATCCCATTCATAAGGAAATGGAAAGACTTGGAAAAAATCATATTAAGTGAAGGAAGTCAGACCCAAAGAAACATAGGCTCCATGATTTCTCTAATATGTAATAATTAGTATATGTCTAGGATAGTCCTAGCAGAGAATCACAATAGTTCAATAGCTATGTACATATGACCATATAAAATTATGTTAATCAAAATGAACTCCAAGGGGCTGGGAAGGTGGCTCAGTGGTAGAGTGCTCACCTTGCATGCATGAGGCCCTAGGGTTCGATTCCTCAGCACCACATAAGCAGAAAAAGCTGGAAGTGGAGCTGTGGCTCAAGTGGTAGAGCACTAGCCTTGAGCTGAAGAGCTGAGGGACAGTGCCCAGGCCCAGAGTTCAGGCACCATGACTGACCAAAAAAAAAAAAAAAAAAAAACTCCAAGCTAGGCACCAGTGGCTCACACCTGTAATCCTAGCTACTCAGGAGGCTGAGATCTGAGGATGTCAGTTCAAAGCCAGCCCGGGCAGGAAAGTTTGTGACATTCTTATCTCCAATAAACCACTAGTAATCCAGAAGTGATGCTGTGGCTCGAGAGGTAGACAGCACCCAGGCTTTGAGTTCAAGCCCCATGACCAACAAAAAAGAAAAAGAAAGAAAAACTCCAAGATATTTTTTTTGGGGGGGCCTGAACTCTGGGCCTGGGTGCTGTCCCTCAGCTCTTCAGCTCAAGGCTAGCACTCTACCACTTGAGCCACAGCGCCACTTCTGGCTTTTTTCTTATGTGGTGCTGAGGAATCGAACCCAGGGCCTCGAGCATGCAAGGCAAGTGCTCTACCACTGAGCCACCTTCCCAGTCCAGAATTCCAAAATATTGAAACAGGTTTTTTTGTGTGTTTTTTTTAATCTATGTGTGAAGTTATTTCTTTTTTCTTACATTTTGATTCCCCCCCCTTTGGTTTATCCACTGTTGTCAATGTTTTTTATTTTGGTACCCTGTGTCTTGTGTATACATTTACTTGATTTAAGGAAGAGAAGGGAAATAACAAAATGATGAGACAAAGGACAAAGGATGAACCAATGCAACAGAGATACTCACAAGGCCGTATGTTGGAAATGAACTTTAAAACTGGAGGGGTAGGAAAACAGGAAGGAGGGAAAGCAGGAGAAAATAAGGGAGGGAGTAAGACTGACAGTAAATATACTCATTACCTTATTTATGTAATTCTAACCTCTATGTACAATATCTTTACAATAAAATTAAAAATCAATCAATCAATCCCTAATGATTTCAGGGTAAAATATAGAGCAGAAATCTGGAAGTTGATCGCTCTCACTAGTGCCACTCTTCATGTCTAAAATACAATAATATGAACTCAAAAATAAAGCTATTACAAATATTTCTTGTCTATTACTAATTAGTCAAAGCTTATGGATGAACATGTATTGAGTCATTCAGAGTTTTTGCCGAAAATACTCATTTTTAACTGTTCTCAATCCTAAACAATGTACTTGTGCTGCTCTCTACTGGCAGTTTGGCAGAACTGCATTTTCACAGATAAGCCAATGACACTATGGCAAAATGTATCTATTTTAAATCTTTTTTCTGAAAAATAATCCTTAAATATAACTACACTCATTCTAGAGAGACTGGAAAATAATTCAACTATTATTTGAAAATACAAGATGTTGGATGTCAGTTTTAGAATTGTTTAAGTAAAATTTAATCTCTAATCTAAAACACTAAATTAAGCTTTGGTCTTCACCAAATGATAAGTGAAATTCAAATAACAGGAACACAGATTAAATCTCCCCATTGAATATAACTAATGTCAAATATAATTGTTCCTCAAAGAATAGTACAGACTATTTTCACTTAAGTCACAAACAATGTATTTAAGAGCTTATATTATCTAGTTTGAAGGTAAACTCACTGAGAATTCTTCTAAACCAAAGAATGGTTCAATACACAGACATTTGCATGTTTCTCAAGTTAAGAATACTATTTCAAAACTCCTTCATGGTTCTGGAGGGGATGTGGCCAAAAAGGAACGTTAGTGCAGTATTGGTGGGAGCGTAAACTTGTTCAGCAGTATGGAGGTTCCTCAAAGACTACACATAGAGCTCCTCCTCCACTTCTGGGCATTTACCCAAATGATTACAAACAAGGCCATACTAAAGCTATTAGCACAACTATGTTTACTGCAGCATTATTCACCATAACAAAGATATGGAACCAAACCAGATGCCCCTCAGTAGATGAATGGATCAAGAAAATGTGGTGTGTGTGTGTGTGTGTGTGTGTGTGTGTGAATTCTATGTTTCCATCAGAAAGAATGGCACTGCCCCATTTGTAAGGAATGGAAATTTTTGGAAAAAATCATATAAGTTAGCCAGATCCAAAGAAACATAGGTTCCATAGTTTCCCTTATTTGCAATAATTAGTATACATCTAGGATAATCTTAGCATATTAGCAGAATAGCTCAATAGCTACATACATATGACCATATAAATGATGCTAAGTAAAATGAACTCCAAGACATGGACACAAGAGATTTTTCTTTGTTGTTTTTATTGTACTATGTGATTTCTTATTTCTTCTGTATGTTTTGCCCTCTATGATATATCCCTGTTGTCACTATGCTTGGTTTTGGTACCCTGGTATTGTATATAAGTTTATCTGAATTAGGGAAGGAAAGGAGAACTGAATGGTGAGACCAAAGGACAAGGAGGGAACCAATGCAACAGCGAGAAAAATGAGGAAAGGGGAACAAGTTTGACAAGAAATGAACTATTACCTTAATGTAACTGTAACCCCTATGTAAATCACCTTGACAATAAAAAAAAAAAAGAAAAAGAAAAGAAAAAAACTCCTTCCTGGTAATAATTTAAGATAACAGAAATCCTGTTACAAACTTAATTTTCCTATGAATTTGTGTTTACTTTCTTATCTTTCCTAGCTCATAAGTGACCCCATATTCTGAAAGAAAAAAAAGTAATAACAATAAGATATGTTTTCTGAGTGGCAACTTAGAGAAGTTTTTATGGTGAAAAGGGTATATGCATCATCACAATAACAAAATACATTGTTAAAGAAATTCCCTAAAAAATAAACTTTGAATATCAAATTCAGAATCTCCCTCAAAGACTTAGATACTTAAGATTTTAAATTCTCACTCACATCCTAAGTTTTTAACTCTTGGCAGTTAACTATATTTCTACTAAGTGCTACATTTTTAAATACATTACATCCAATCTTTGTACTCTGAAATATTAAATACCATTTTTCCCTCAATAAGTTAAGATTGTGAGGTAGAAAAGGATCCCAGTAAATTGCCCAAGTATCAGAGCTAGTATTCACGTATGTGTTAGCCAATTTCCAAAGCCAACTCTTTCCATTAGTTCCTGCTGCTTAGTTTCACTGGATGCTGAACTTAACGCTAAAGAAATTAAGACTAATGAAAACTGCAGGCTGCAGCAACTATCTAATGTTTCAGTAAAGCAGTACAACCTCTTACGAAAGATAAAACTGTAAGTATCTACCAAACATCAAAGGAAATCCAACCCTTACTCTTCTCATCACTGTCCCAAACTCCAGCAACTTGCACTAAAACCTGGTGGTAAATTAAAGCCCTTAGCTGAATTCTGAAGCCCAATCAGTTTTCTTTCTGTATAGGCCAGTGAGGAGTGAGCAACCAACAGTAAGATAACATGATAAATGGCTTAACAGTATAACTAATTTATACTCTCACTATTTCATAAGTTCTAAGAGTTCTGCCATAAAATTTTAGAATATTAAAACAACACATAAAAGATTTACTTGCAAAATCTATACATATTTCAAATATTCAATTTAATAACTTTTCAGTTATATCAAAACTCATGACAATTCTGTTCTAGAGGAACATACCAGCAAGAGGTGGTTTATGTGAGTGAAGAATACAAGGCACACTGACAATTAGTTTGTGATCTGGAATGGGCAGCACTTTTACATCTGGGTTCCTAGTTAAAACAGAAAAATATGGTAAACTATACTTTAATGCACAATTTTCTAATCATATGTTGGGCTGATATTTTTCCCTTTCAAATAGTGTCCAATTTTAAAACAAATTTAAAGAATCAATGAAGAAAATAGCACAACTTAAGAATTAAGGATTTCATTTCCCACAATAAAAATAATTAAATACTAAATAAAACAAAGGTAACAGAAAATTTTTTATTCCATATAATTCACACTTTTCTACTTTGGACCAGTTCCAGATTTTCAAAAATGTAAAATTTAAAGAAAGTCAATGATCATTGTTAGTGATTCTTAAAAGCCTAAAACCTAATCCACTTCTAAATTTTGAAAAAATATCACTTTTCTTACCTTAATGGTAAAGCAGCTTTTTTTTTAACTCTCCCCAGTATAAGGCCTTCATAAGGTTTTTTGTGTGGTGAATCTAACGGGAACACAAACTCTCCCGAATTGGTGATCTGACAGGAAAGAGCCAACAAAAAGAATTATTCTTTTTCTCATGGAGTATATAGAGTTTCCACCCAGAAGAGAGAAATTATTAAACCTCCAGGCTACTGTTGTCCAATAAAAATATAATGTGAGCCACAAGTGCGAGCCACATATATCATCATAAATTTTCTAGTAGATCATTAGAAAAAATACAAAAAAGAATACAATGAAAGTAATTTTAAATACTTAATTTAAGCTACTATATCTAACATATAATTTTAATTTGTAATCAAGTCACAAAAATGTACTGAGATTGTTTCTTTCCTATCAGGTCTTTAAGGCCCAATGCTTACTTTACATTGAAGAGCACATTATTTGAGCCAGGAGCCAATGGTGCATGCCTAATAATACTAGCTACTCGGAGGCTACAGTCTGAGGATCACAGTTTAAAGCCAGCACAGGCAGAAAAGTCCCCATGAGACTCTTATCTCTAACCACTCAAAAACTGGAAGTGGAGCTGTGGCTCAAAGTGTAGAGCAAAAGAACTCAGAGACAGTGCATAGGCCCTGAGTTCAAGCCCCACAAACCACACATTATTTGAACTAGTCACATTTCAAGTCTAAAGAGCCACCTGTGACCATGGCTACTGTAATAGGCTGAAATCTATTAACATCTTGCACATAAACAATCTCTACCTTAAAAATCACACAAATAATATTAAATTACTAACAATGAAATTAAAATAAGTAATTAAAAATAAAGTCAGGCCGGGCACCAGTGGCTCATGCCTGTAATCCTAGCTACTAAGGAGGCTAAGATCTGAGGATCACAGTTCAAAGCCAGCCAGCCAGCCAGCCAGGGAAAAGTCGGTGAGACTATTTTTTTTTTTTTTTTTTGTTGGTCATGGGGCTTGAACTCTGGGCCGCCTGCACACTGTCCCTTAGCTATTTAGCTCAAGGCTAGTGTTCTACGCTTGAGCCACGGCGCCAGTTCTGGTGGTTTACTGCCAGTAAGAGACTCATGGACTTTCTTGCCCTGGCTGGCTTTGAGCAGTGATCCTCAGATATCAGCCTCCTTAGTAGCTGTAGAAAACTAAAGCTAGATCCTCTATATTACTCTGTACCAGAATCTACTCCAAATGGATCAAAGACCTCAGAGTCAAAGCAGATACCCTGAAAACATAACAGGAAGGAATAGGAGAAACTCTAGGGCTCCTTGGTACAGGCCAAAATTTTCTTAATAAAGACCCAGAAACACAAGAAATCAAAGAAAGGTTGGACAAATGGGATTGCATGAAACTGCAGAGCTTCTGCATGGCAAAGGACATAGCTAGCAAGATCAATAGAAAGCCCACAGATTGGGAGAAGATCTTCACTAGTCATACAACGGACAAGGGTCTCATATCTGAAATATACCTGAAACTCAAAAAAATTAAATCCCCCAACAACAAATCCTCAAAGAAACAACCACCCAATTAATAAATGGGCTAAAGATTTGAAGAGAGACTTCTCTGAAGAGGAAATAAGAATGGCCAATAGACACATGCAGAAATGTTCATCTTCTCTAGCCATAAAAGAAATGCAAATCAAAACACCATTGAGATACCACCTCATCCCAGTTAGAATGGCTAGAATCAAGAACTCTAACAACAACAGATGCTAGAGAGGATGTGGACAGAAGGGAACCTTACTGCATTGTTGGTGGGAGTGTAAATTGTTCAACCACTTTGGAAAGTAGTATGGAGGTTCCTCAGAAGACTCCACATAGAGCTCCCCTATGACCCAAAAATCCTACTCTTGGGCATTTATCCAAATGATCACAAACAAGGCCATACTAAAGCTACCAGCACAACTATGTTTATTGCAGCATTATTTACCATGGCTAGATATGGAACCAACCCATATGCCCCTCAGTAGATGAATGGATCAAGAAAATGTGAGATAGATAGATAGATAAGACAGACAGACAGACAGACAGACAGACAGACAGACAGACAGACAGACAGACAGACAGATAGATAGATAGATAGATAAAAAATTCTATGTCTTCAGGGGCTGGGAAGGTGGCTCAGTGGTAGAGCGCTTGCCTTGCATGCTCAAGGCCCTGGGTTCGATTCCTCAGCACCACATAAGCAAAAAGAAAAAAGCCGGAAGTGGCGCTGTGGCTCAAGTGGTAGAGTGCTAGCCTTGAACTGAAGAGCTGAGGGACAGCGCCCAGGCCCAGAGTTCAGGCCCCACGACCGGACCCAAAAAAAAAAAAAAAAATTCTATGTCTTCATCAGAAAGAATGGCATCACCCCATTTGTTAGGAAATTGAAAGACTTGGAAAAAATTATGTTAAGTGAAGTAAGCCAGCCCAAAGAAACATAGGTCCCATGGTTTCCCTTATTTGCAATAACTAGTATATCTCTGGGACAAGCAGAAATGGTCAAAAGTATGTATATATCACCAGATAAGATGATGTTAAGCAAAATGAACCCCAAGATAGGGACATAAATGGTTTATTCTTTCTTGCTATTGTTTCTAACATATTTATAATGTACCATGTGATTTTTTTTTGTTTCTTTGTATGTTCTTCCCCCATGGTATAACCCCTGTTTTCACAGTATTTGATTCTGGTGCCCTGCATCTTGTATATACATTTTTTCCTAATTGGGGGAGGGGAAGGGAAATAACAAAATGTTTAAATAAGGATACAGGTTGACCCACTGTAACAATGAGATGTACAAGACACTGTGTTGAAACCAACTTTATAACTTTGCCTGGGGGTGGGGGCAAGGAGTTGGGAAGGAAGGAATAGTAGGGGGGGAAACAAAGGAGGGAGTAACGATGCTCAATAGGAAATGGACTCATTACCTTACTCATGTAACTGTAATCCCTCTGTACAGTATCTTTACAATAAAAAATATGTATTAAAAATATTTTTTTAAATAGATGCTGTCAGGCACCTGTGCCTCGAGCCTATAATCCTAGCTACTCAAGAGGCTAAGATCTGAGGCTCATGGTTTGAAGCCATGCCAAGCAAGAAAGTCTGTGAGACTCTTTCCTCCAATTTAGCACAAAAAGAGACTGGAAGTAGAGCACTGAAGTGATAGAGCACTAGTTGGCCTTAAACAACAAAGCTCAAAGACAGCTCCAAGGCCCTGAGTTTAAGCCTCAGGACTTAAACAATAACAACAAAAAGGATGATGTCTTTACATGAATGGTATGCCATACTTTATTAACTAATAAGGTAACTTCTAAACTCACTTTTACCCAATGCCATTCAGCAAGCATCTCCACAGACCAAGAAGGATAAAGCTCTTCCTTAACAAAACGCAGGTGCTTCTGTCTATTGGTCACCCAAGTAACAATAAGGCAGTTTGGGGCAGCCAGTTCAGGAATGGGTATCTGTTTTATTTGCAGTGATGACAAATAACTGTACCTAAAATTAAAAAGAAAAAAATATGAGCAAAATTTGATTCAAGAAAGAAAAATAAGCAGAGAGGAAACCTGTACTATATTGATCCCCCAAACGCAAAGGTCCTGGAATACCATTTGTATAAGTAAGTATGAAGCCACAGTGACACCTGGTGGACACATGATCCACACCAAAAATAACTTCATTTTTCGTTTTCATTAAAATTTTCATTTTTCTTTAAAATTGTTAGGCTATAATCACTTCAAATTTTTGGTACCTTTCCTTTTTTTGTTACTCTTTTCAAAATTAAGCAAATACTGTTTAAATCCTATCTGTGTACTACAGAGGAATGACATCACAATAAGTCTTGAAACCAATTATCTGGATAACCCAAGTGAAATCTGACACTGGGTAAGGGTTGTGAGACAGGTAATACTAATGCAAGTTTAGTTCAGTGAAGCTTTTTATTCCCCTACAATCCTAAAACTTTGCAAAAATACTGACCCTTTGGGTAATATAACATTTTACCCAATTTCATTTTCTTCTTACCACATTTCCAGTACCCAAAAGAAGTCATCCTGCTTCTTTCTTCCTTTCAAATCAATTCTACCAGGCTCTTTCTGAAATCCTCATGCTTCCATTAAAACAACAAGAAAAAACAAAACAAGTATTGTCTTGTGTTTCTTGGTGGTTAATAATCCAATGGCAAGTTTATGGAGAACAATGCAGGCTCTATAATACCCAATTAACCAACACACAATAGTCCCTCTCCCCCATTGCTGCTTCCAGATTCTAGCTTAATTACTTACTCTGCATAAAATCCTCCCCTCTTTGAGAAGTATGCTATCCCACTATGCTAACTTCAAACATTTACTACACCTATTTCATCCTCACTTTCCAAATTCAATGAGGAATTAAGTTTAAAGATCTCACTACATCAACAATGCAATCCTTCCATTATCCTTTTTCAAAGCACAACTCACCGGGCACATACCACAACTATTATTCACCTAACCAAATAATTACATTTATCCCACTCCAAGAATCTACTCCAATGTCATTCCTAAATTAGGCTTTGATATCACTCACATTTATTCAGTCTCTGAAACAATAAACTTGAGTCTCTGGCTGTAATTTCCTATGTCTCATCTATTCTTCTTACCATATCAAAGCATATAGTGAGTACCCCATCACTCTATGTTACTGAGTCTATCAGTTTCTTCCTGACCAAAATTACTCCTCTTCCTCGGAGACTATCAACCATCCTACTGTCTTCTCACTACCACCCTAACTCCTATTTAGCACTCTAACTCCCATTTACCCTTCAGCTTCACATTCTTCTTGCAAAACCCAATCTAAAAGCAAAACCTAATTTATTTTCAGTGAAAGGCCACAAACCCAAGTTCTTGTGCATACAAAAAACAGACTCTACATTCTACTACTGAGTTCACCTGTAGCCTATCCTACAAGAAAACTGGTTTCCTCGAGAAAAAGTTGGGTGAAGAAAAATGGAAAACAGGGCTGGGAAGATGGCTCAGTGGTAGAGTGCTTGCCTTGCATGCCTGAGGCCCTGGGTTCAATTCCTCAGCACCACATAAGCAAAAAAAGCTGGAAGTGGAGCTGTGGCTCAAGTGGTAGAGCACTAGCCTTGAGCTGAAGAGCTGAGGGACAGTGCCCAGGCCCAGAGTTCAGGCACCATGACTGACCAAAAAAAAAAAAAAAAAAAAACTCCAAGCTAGGCACCAGTGGCTCACACCTGTAATCCTAGCTACTCAGGAGGCTGAGATCTGAGGATGTCAGTTCAAAGCCAGCCCGGGCAGGAAAGTTTGTGACATTCTTATCTCCAATAAACCACTAGTAATCCAGAAGTGATGCTGTGGCTCGAGAGGTAGACAGCACCCAGGCTTTGAGTTCAAGCCCCATGACCAACAAAAAAGAAAAAGAAAGAAAAACTCCAAGATATTTTTTTTGGGGGGGGTCCAGTCGTGGGGCCTGAACTCTGGGCCTGGGTGCTGTCCCTCAGCTCTTCAGCTCAAGGCTAGTGCTCTACCACTTGAGCCACAGCGCCACTTCTGGCTTTTTTCTTTTTGCTTATGTGGTGCTGAGGAATCGAACCCAGGACCTCAGGCATGCAAGGCAAGTGTTCTACCACTGAGCCACCTTCCCAGCCCCTGAGGGTCCTGGTTTTAAGCCAACTGGATTTTTGTCTCTCAGACAAAACTGAGAGACTCCTATCTCCAGTTAACATGCAAAAAGCTGGAAGTGAAAGAGTGGTTCAAATGGGATAGCACCAGCCTTGAGCAAAAAAGGTAAGTAAGAACATGAGGTTCTGAGTTCAAGGCCTACTTTCAAGCACAAAAAAATTACTTTCCCTAGAAAATTAAATAGAGAGAGGAAATGTAACTGAAACCATTCGTCAGAAGTAGTGGGTAAGTCAGATGCTGATGGTTCATGCTTATAATCCTAGTTCCTCAGGAGTCTGAAATATGAAGGCTTAAGGTTCGAAGCCAGCTCAAGCAGAAAAGTCCAAGAGACTCTATTTCCTATCCAGCAAAATAATGGACTGGATACATGGCTCAAGTGGTAGAGCACCAGCTGTGAACAATCAAACTGAGCAAATAACATGAGGCACTGAGTTCAGGCACCAGTACCAGCACCAAAAGGGAGAGAGAGACATAAACAGAGACAGAGACAGAGAATGACAGAAACAAACACATAGAAGGTAATATTTCAAAAGCACTATTAAAAAGAAACAAAACCAAGCAGTGGTACTAGACACTGTTGAAAATGAACTATACATCTTGTGGGTAGGAAGGGAAGGAAAAACTGGGAGAGAGCAAGGGAAGGAATGATATTGCACAAAAAGAAATGTACTCTCTTTACCTAACATATGTAAATGTAAACCCTCTGTAACAATAAACTGAAAAAAACAAAATGAGCCAGTTACTGATGGCTCACACCTGTAATTCTGGCTACTTGGAAGGCTAAGATCTGAGGACTGTGGTTTGAGGGCAGCCCAGGCAATAAAGACAATGCGATTCTTATCTCCAACTAACCTCCAAGAAAGTAGCCTAAAGTAGAACTGTGGCTCAAGTGATAGAGCGCCAATCTGGAGCAAAAAAGCTGAGTTCAAGTCCCAGTACTGGCACATAAAACTGCACAAATATAACAGATTATTAAGTAAAATTAGAAATACTCTAGCACATTTCTAAATTTTAGAATCTGGCTTTTTCTGTTTATGTGGTACTGAGAAATGAAACCCAGGGCTTCATGAATACTAAGCAAGCACTCTACCACTAAGCCATTTTCCCAGGCCAAGATTATAGGTTTTAGAAAGCATTTTTAATAGATAATTCATCTTTACTTACCTGTTACTTCTTTTAACTGACTTATTCTGCCATGGTGGATCAATCACAATTACATCAAATGTTTTCCTACCTAAAATCAAAGACATAATTTCAAAAATATCTTCTGTATGTGATCACTTTAAAAACTAAACACAATGTCTGGGGGTGTGGCTCAAGTGGTAAGAACATCTCCCTAGTAAATAGAAAGTCTTGAGTTAAAACCTCAAAACTGCCAAAAAGGAAAAAGGGAGACAGACAGACAGACACAGAAAGACAGAGACAGAGAGATAAATAGGTAGATAGACAGACAAAACATATAGATACTAAAGGAGGATTGGGAATGTAGCTCAATAGTAGCACATTTTTAATATGTACAAGAGGGCACATAGGTTTAAATTCCAGTATCTGAAAACAATAAATATTGGCCTTAATTCAAAATTCAGCTGTCTCTTATGAGAACATCAAAATATTATTCTTACTAATAACAATTTGAAACTACAGAAATATCCTTAATTAATGATAAGCAAAATAATTACTTACAGTTCAGAAGTGGCTGCATACAGGAAATATCAGACAAAAGAAAACTGCTTTTTGGTGGCAGCAGGTATTTCTCTCCCATTAAGGTAATCATTTTTGAGAAGCAAGATTTGTTTTCAACAACGCGTGAAAACAAATCCTGCTCTGTAACAGAAGTATCATCTTCCATTAATTGCAATGTCTGAAGTTCCATATTATTCAGAGAAGGCAAATGCTTTGCCATTGCACATAATTCAGACAAACTGCAGGACTCTAGAGGTAGAATAATGGGTTCACCACTACACTTGTCTCGATTTTCAGCAAGTGGATAAAGGAAACCACTTCTGAGACCTTCTTGGATTAACTGTAAAGATCCATCCAAAATCAGTTCTCGGATCTGTAAGAGAATTTATTAAAAGTATGTTAAAAGGAGTCACTAAAATGTCTTCTAAATAATGAAATTACTACTTAGCTTTTAATATCTAAATGTATAAATTAAAATCAACATTCCTAATTCTTACAGTAATTTTCTTTCATTTTTGGGGGGGGGGGGTCGGGTTGTGGGGCCTGAACTATGGGCCTGGG